TCCAGTTGGGAGAACTGTACCGATGATCTCTAACAGCCTTTCCACGTCCTCGGGGCTGTAGTTCTCGACACAGGGGACTCTTCCGCGTAGTGGCATCCCGAATGCTGCTGTCGTTGATGGAGGCTCGTTGGGCGCGGAATGCGGAATGAATCCGTCGAGGTTGAAGTGCAAGACGGAATGAAAGTCATCTCGTTTGAGAGGTATCGCACCTAAGTAAGAAATTTAATGGCTTTTTGGAGGTTTAGGCTGCGGAGACCCAGACTCAAGATCTGAACTGCAGCGTCTGTGGTTTGGCGGAACAGAACGTCCCTTTTTGTTGAGGGTAGGGCTACTTTTGGATTTGAACCTGTTCAAACGGCTGCGGGAATCGCTCCAGTATTGGAGCATCTTCACATGTGAGAAAAGTTTGGGCAAATATGGTGTTTGCCACCAAATTTCGATAGTCCGATTTTTTTGGGTCTCCACCGATGGGTAAGTAGGCAACAAAATTTATCGAAGTGGCGACTTCGACAAGAAAAATAACATTGGCAAATTGCTTCTCTCGGTCGGAAAAAGTTCATCTCTCCCCAAATATAGAGCATGATCGACAAACGAGTTTTTTTTTTCAACCAGTGGAGATGTTGCTTTGTCAGTCTGTTGCAAAGTTTTATTCTAGTATGAATGATGCGTTTGGGCACGATTTATCGCAGGGAAGAGTTGACTGACATATGCAAGCAACGAGCCGGCATCAACTTTGGATAATGAAAAATACAGCTAAACTAAAAAAAATGAAACTACAGTACGTAGCCAGTTTTGTTAGTCCTTCCTCTTAATATGGATGTGTCTGTCATGCTTCATATATACATGTACCACTAAGCAAACGCAAACCGAGAAAAACCATACTCAGGTTTTGTCAAAGTAAAATCGTTTTTAAGTGTGTATTCTTTGTTGTAAAACGAAGGAGCAATCAAGGAAGTGGCTCTTAGCCAATAGCGCAGCAGAACGCGTGCCAGTAAAGCTTTCAGGCTACGAGCGAGGATAGGCACACGCCTGCCGCGATGAGTGGCTGGCGGCGTGATGTGGCGCCGGCAGTAGGCGAAGCAGCTAGCAGACGGAAAGATGGTCCTCTATGCTCAGTGGTAGGAGGCGCTTCTGCTTTGGCATAACAAAATGATACATCGCATTTACCTTTGAAGAGATGAAGTGCTATATGCCGCCACTGCGATTAAAATCAATTGAGCTTACCATCCACGCTAGTAAGGCCCTCTTTAACTTTTATACAGAGATCTGAGCCAAGCTTTGCCTGCCAGCGCAATTAAAGCCGTGGCTACATATAAAAAGGTTTCCGGCGTTGATTGACCTGGTATTAATGGCCATATACAGACAAACTAAATGCGTAAATGTGTCGTAACCAAAATGGGTTACCCGTTCTCAAAACAACGCGCTGTTTTATCAGCTGTCTGATTGGCTTGACTTGGGGAAGGGGGGGGGGGGGGGTGACAAAATATTTTGCTAGAAATCATAGTCAATTCTGGTTATATTTTCTGATAGTGGAGTTACGGGAGTTGGAGAATGTTACTTGCTTTAAGACCTGTCGACCTGTAATAGTACCCCATGGGATACTTCCTCCTTATTCCTCCTTACATTGGACCCAATTAAAGGAGTGGGGATTATGGAAAC